CTCTCTCTCTCGCTCTCTCTTCTCCTTTTCACCCTGCCAAAACACTTTAGAGCACCTTTAAATATCTTCACATCCCGCCTTCTCGTCTCCCTTACAAATCTGTCACTCTACATTCGCAGCATATTATGTTCTCTGTGCGGCCCACAGGTGCTGTGATGTGTGACATGCTCTGCCTCTATTGAATGACCCAAGAGAGAGATGACCTGAGAAAAAGATAAACTCATATTCTTCAGAATCATTAAGCAAAATGATGTTATATATGTGATCCTGGAGCACAAAAGCAGTCTTAAGTCGCTGGGGTATATTTGCAGCAATAGCCAAAAATACATTGTATAGGTCAAAATGATAGATTTTTCTTTTATGCCAAAAATCATTATGATATTATGTAAAGATCATGCTCCATGAAGATATTTTGTAAATTCCCTACACTGTAAAAAATGACCGTGAATTTAACGGTAAAAGACTGTAAAAATGCTACAGTAAAATCCTGTTAAATGGTTAACGGTAAATTCCCCTACTATATACGGTGAAAAACTGTATTGGACATTACATGTATTGGACATTAATTTTACGGTAGTATACCGTATTTGGAAGTGAAAAAGACCGTATAATTTTCATTGAATAACCGTAAATTGACATTCCCAGAATTCCCTGTGTTACATTTCAAATTTGATGTTTTTTTGTTGAAATAACTTATGTTTCTTTTTAGTTTTTTCTTATCAGTTTTGTATATTTGGGTTGTGTGTTACACCTAATGTTGTTAAATTAATGTTTATTGCATTATTTCAGTTTCATGTGTGTTACCATGATGGTGTTTGGTGTTTGTGTGAATGACACTGTGCACCTTCTATATATGTTATTATTTAAAAGCTGCTTGTGATAGGCTTTGGTTCATCGTGTGACTTTCTCATCACCACCTGCATTTGGTGGTTATCAGTGTATTACAAAGGTACAAAACAGATTTTAGTACTTCAATAGGTTGGTATATAATAAAATTTTATCAGTTAATGAAATTACGGTATTTAACTGTAAATTTAAGTTAAAACCGTAAAACCTAAAACGTTGCTACCGTATTTTTTACGGTAAAATTCCGGCAACCACAGCTGCCGGTTTTCTACCGTAAATTTTACGGATTTTTTTTACAGTGTACCATACATATATCAAAACTTCATTTTTGATTAGTAATATGCATTGCTAAGGACTTCATTTGGACAACTTTAAAGGCGATTTTCGTTTTTTTTTTGCACCCTCAGATTCCAGATTTTCAAATAGTTGTATCTCGGCCAAATATTGTGCTATCATAACAAACCATACATCAAAGCTTATTTATTGAGCTTTCAGATGATGTATAAATCACATTTTCGAATTTTTTTTTCTTTTTTTTTTCTAAAATCATTGTCTACTTTTCTTTCTTTTCTTCATAAAGACAAATTATAAAGAATTTGCTTGGTATATTAAATTTTTTCCCTCTCATTTCAATATATATACAGGTATATTCACTCATTCACTCATTCACCATTCACATTAATTTTAAGACAGTTCTATTAGCAGTGAACAACATCAAACAAAATGGCTAATTTATCAAAAGTGAAAGTAAATACTAATACTATATTAAGCAGCTTAGCTGATATTTACATTTACATTTACATTTAGTCATTTAGCAGACGCTTTTATCCAAAGCGACTTACAAATGAGGACAATAAAAGCAGTCAAAACTAACAAAAGAGCAACAATATATAAGTGCAAATGACAGTCTCGGTTAGCCTAACGCAGTACACGTAGCAAGGTGTATATATATATATATATATATATTACACACACACACACACACACACACACACACAAAGAAAAACAAGTAGATAGAATAGAAAAAATAGAAAGCTAGTGTTTTTTTTAAATAAAAAAAAAGATACTGTAAATATAGATAAAGTAGAATTAAAATAGAATAGAAAGTGCTAGAGTTGATATAAACATTGATAATAACCAGAAATGTTTCTTGAGCAGCAAATCAGCATATTAGAATGATTTCTGAAGGATCATGTGGCACTGAAGACTGGAGTAATGATGCTGAAAATGTAGCTTTACATCGCAGGAATAAATAACATTTTACAATATATTCACATAGAAAACCATCATTTATAATTGTTTATAACTGTTTTTACTGTATTTTTGATCAAATAAATGCAGCCTTGCTGAGCATAAGAGACTTCTTTCAAAACATTCAAAATCTTATCGTAATGTATATATGTATGTTATTATCTGTATATTTTTTGTTAGAACTATTATCATTTATAACAAATTATAAAAAAATGTGTGATAATTTTAGATGCTGTCATTTTAATGCAGCCCAATGAATCTGTTTTTCAAAGAAAAGCAGAAGGTTGCACCCAAAGGAATGAATATCACTGAAAGTAAAAAAAAAAAAATCCTTACCACATAAACTGTTTTGTTTTGTTTTATAGCCCATTTTGTTCCAGTACTCAAGAATCAGTGAGAAGAGAGACGAGGGGATAAACGCAAAGGGAATGAAAGAGAAAGAGAGAGGGATGGATGGATGGATGGAGTGATAGAGGCTCAGGCTGGAATGAAGTCTTGATGAGTATCCTGTCCCAGCTCATCGTGTCTATAATACTTTTCTTGATCGCACATTTTTCACTGCCGCTGAATTCAATTGATCAATCATGTCTGTCTGATGGCACCATTTCAGCTGGTTATTACCACTGCGCTTGTCACGGTGACCTTTTCTTTCTCTTTCACACACACACACACACACACACACACACACACACTGGACACTGCTCTCTCTCTCTCTCTGTATGTATATATAATGATGTGTGTGTGGTTGCCAAGGTTACTAAGGTTAAGTTAAGTTGTTCTGAATTGGGAATTATGCCCTTTCTAAGGTGTTCTGGGTGGTTGTTAACCTGTTTCTCGAGTATTTAGTGGCCATTGCATTGCTATACGATTGATTGGGTGAGCTATGTGGTGGTTAGGGTGTTGCTAGGCGTTCTAAATAGTTGCTAGGGAGTTGTTATGCCATTTCTAGGGTGTTCTGGGCAGTTGTTAACCTGTTTCTATGTGATTGCTAGGGTATTTATTGGACAATGCATTCCTATACGATTGATTGGGTGAGCTAGGTGGTTATATCATTGCTATGCTGTTGCTAGGGTGTGCTGAATAGTTGCTAGGGCATTGTTATGCCATTTCTAGGGTGTTCTATGTGGTTGTTAAACTGTTGCTATGTGATTACTAGGGTATTTAGTGGGCAATAC